TTCACTATCAGAAATATTTGTCTTCCAATGGTTCGTTTAATGAACACAAACTCTGTATTTATAACCTGGCCGATCAGATTTAGAACAAGCACTAGAAAATCGTGTGCATTCATTTACAAGATGTCGGCTTGCACACCTGCTGCACTTGGCATGGTCTTGAATTTGTTCTGTGCTTTGGGTAGATGGTTATGCCATTGAAACTGAGTACCTGTGTGTTGGAATTTTCTTGATGATCCTTGAGATTCCGAATGTTTTCATAGTTTTGTTTGTCTCAGGACTTCACCCAGCAGAATCCCTCATTTTGTTACCATTCCCCCTCAAGTTAGATCCCCTTGTCTCCATTCTTCGAAGAAAACTCTGACAATTAAAATGCTATTTAGTTATGTAGAATCTTCAAGATTCTTCTTTCAGCCTTAAAAGGGCTAGGAGAAAATTTGGCTAGTCATTCACTTTTTCCTTGTATTCCTGTGCAAACAGATTATTGTTTTAGGCTGATCTTCTTTTGCTCCCAAAAGGGCAGCATCTTTCATTAAAAATTGTTTTCTTGAACAATAGGCATATGTCAGCTACATGTTCCAGAATCTTTCTCATGTGTCATCTTTTCTTGCTTCCACCAGTTTTACACATTGCCTTGAAGTACATATGAGACAGGACATGTTGTAGCTTTGTGTCTGAGCTTTCTGCAATTAAGGTTTTAGCTGCTCCATCAAAGGAGTGTAGGAAAATCATTTTTACTTATCTATCCCACTCTACCTAGAGAGTTCTATCACAAATGCCCAATGCTGGTTGTCATTATTGCTTTTGTTATGCCAGTCTGACCATGGTTGCAGTACTTGGAGCATCATTCCTTGATCAACAATGTAACTTCTGCATTATCTGGAGCTCTTGTACCACATAGATTTCACACCCCAACTCAGTGGGTACAATGTTGCATACAAACAATGCTTTGCTCTAAAAGATGCTAGGCTTATAATAAATTTGTGACAGAATGTCTGTATATCATCTATATATTGTCAAAAGATAACACCATAACATATAAGATCCTCATCAAAGAGATAACACCATAACATTCACTATAACATATAAGCTCTCACCCTACATAATTCTACCTAGATCAAAATATAGAGCAATGGTTAGCATGGTATTCACCTCATTGGCACCATTCCTGTATACGCACATTATTACTCTCTAATTTATGAATAGAGAAATAATAAGTCAGTCAACAAATTATTTGCCAGAATCTTTCTGGTAGATCAAATATATTTCAATGTAACCCAAAAAAGAAAGGAAACATTATTATGATTAGCTAATTTTCGGAAGATATCTAGAAAAAGATGAAAACTACAAATCCATCACTTTTCCAGGAAAACTCTTAAGATAACAAATTTGACAAGAGTTGAGTTTAAGAAACATAAAAATACTGTAAAACTAAACCATGTTTCACATAAAAATACTGTAAAATACTGCCAATGGTGGGTCTCTAGATCTAGAAGAAGATTTTGAAATGGCTCCTATCAGACATAAGACTAGTTGGTCTTAGCAAGACTTCTCACTAAATCAACAGCCAGTCTTTTGGACATGGACTGCTTAATAGTGAAAATTCGACCTAATTATGCACCCACAAATGATTTAAAAAATTTGAAAGTGGCATGTAGTTTTTTGAATTCAGCTCAAATGGCTACTAACTCATGTGTAATGGATGTCTAAACCTCAAGTCGCACCTCTGGAAATATGATAGCACATACATTCTGAAGCAAAAGAAAGTTTAGAAGTAGTGGAAATTCTAATTTATTTAAAGTTACAAGCATAAATTACAGATTTCACATTCAATGAAGATTTTTGCATAAAAACTAATCAGTCTACTTCAATACTGGAGTGTGAAATCCTGTATCTCTTAGTCTGAACAGGAAATGACATATTTTAGATGCCTTGCTTCATTAGAAAGAGAAGAGAGGAGGAAGATATATAAAGAACTAATGCACACTATGAAGTTTGGAACCAATAAGTGGACATGGTGAAAAAGAAAATGTTTAGCTGCTTTACAATGGGTTGGAGACCAGGGCTAGTTTGTGTCAATTTTTATTGGATTTGGGTATTACAAAAGAGGTGCTTGTATACCACTATGGGTTGGGAAATAAAGGTTGACAACATTGGCAACAATCTCATGCTTGACAGTGCTTCAGAATTTATTTACTTTCTCAGGCTGGCTACAGATTTGATTGGTTCAAGATGGATATGTTCTAAAAATACAAACTTTAAGGACACATATTGGCATGGGAACTTAATAGTGTGGCTCTAGTATAGCTCTATATTTTTTCTGAGAAATAATGTTGGGATGAATTTCTACCATTGAAATCCGGCAATAACGCTCTACATCTCTACATGTATGTTGCTTGAGAATTAACTCTTCTTACTCATTAGGAGGATTAAAGTTGTTTTGCTTCTGCTCCTTGTATTGGATTAATGAACTCAATATCACTTTTCATAAACCAGCAAAATATAACAGTTGACATTATATGTTAAAATATATAATTTAGTTGTATTGCTGTGTCAATGGATCCGATTGACTACTACTTGAACCCTGGTAGTGTCCTAAATAACTCAGATGAAAGATTTGCACAACACAAGAAACATGGACTAAACTGTCTGACGGTTTTAAGAGGCTATCATGCCATTCAATGGATATGGACACGGTTTTTTTACAAATTTAGAAGGCTTTGAGAGGCTTATATAGATGCAACCTAAAACAAATGACTAATATACAACACAAAACAATGGCAGTCATTTTTGACTGAGGGTGATATGTTCAAAGTAACTCTATTATGCTTCCGTATATTGTCTGATATACTTCACTGAGATTGTGTTGCCCCTTGCTCATATGTTTTACCCCAAGATGCTGCGATATCAGTTGGCAGAGAGCTGACTTTTGAGTCTGGCTATTTTTTCCAGTCAAACATGTTATTATGGAGTCATTCTTCTTGTTGAGTTTTTCACGATAAGTACATTTCCTTTGTAAATCTGTTTCCTGATGTTGATTTTTTTGTTGCAGGAATTGCTACTTTAGTTGGTACTTTGAGATCCAAGACAATGATAGGTGAACAATCTTGCGAGCCAGATGCATGACTTTTAGTTTTACATATCTCGTACAATATATGGGGGTTAGTTAATTTTATAGACTATACAGGAAGGTATTTGAGAGAAAAAACAACAAAAGGATTTCAGATTCAGAAGATTCAAAATAAAGCTTCTTGTGTGAAGGTTTGGAATTTGAGTTTAGTTCCACATGCCGTGTAGGTTTTGTTTCTTTGGGTTTGATTGAGATGTAATTTTATCACGGGATAAAATCATAATTGTTCAGATTTATGCAACTGATGTGCCAAATAGACCTAGTAATGTTCCCAAGGAAAAGAAAGATAGCAAGCTGTTGTAATACCTGGCAAAGTTGTTGGTTCTTGTCAGGTTCTCTATTAATCTTCTTTTTATTTTCTTTCCAATTTTATTTGTTACCAGAGGGTTGGTTGTTTGTATTAGTTTGGGACTTACACGGGGATGCTTTACGGTCCCAATATAACTGTTATGTACTGTGATTCATTTCTTGAGTTGCTTCATTAGTCGTAAGCATTTGCGTCGTGCATTTGCTCTTGCTTGCGTTTTGTTTCCGAAAACCGCTTCATAGCATCATGTGCTTTTGCTGTTGTGCCTTGGCAAGGTACTGCCTTGTGTCGCTTGTGGGAAAAGGTTTTCATGAGTATATCCGATGCTATTTCTTGCTTTGCTCCTAAAGACAGGCATATCTATCTTTCCATCTTCTTTTTTGGCTGTCAAAGTGTATCCCTTGACATTTTTGCATGTCAATGTGCTGCCTTGGCACACAAACCATGCTTGTCATTTGTCACAGGTACTCTTGCCAGTTCCAGTCTGCTGGAGACAGCTAACCCTGATACAATTTATCTGGTGTCAATCTGCACCATTGTTCTTGATTAGTTAATTAACTCATTTATATATCTCATAATTCATGTTCTTGTGAGTTCATTTTCACTTTAAATGATTTCATTATGGAATGAGGTGGGAGTACAGAATAGACATTGAAAGCTTGGTAATAACACAAGCATCAAACAGGTAGCAGCTCCACATGCAAATGAAGTAATTGTATTCGAGGCCAGATTTTGACAATAGGCTCAGAAATTTAGTGAATGGAAATTACAATTGCAATTTCTTGGGCAGATTGTCCAAACAATCACTTGATTAAAACATATGCATAGAAAAAATTGACTCACAAAGATTGAGTCATGAAAATAGTCTTTCTAAGTATAGAATTAAAATTATGTGCATCGATTAAATACGTCTTTTTCTACATCTTCCGAGTCATTGAAAAAAAAAAAAAACATATAACTGATAGCACAAATATTAGATAGAAAATTTAAAAAATCTTGAAAAAATAACTATAAGAAGAGATCATCCCATCCAATGGCTTTGAACTAAGATATTTATGTAAGTAGATAAATTATGATCATAATTTTACTCCTTAACTATAAAAATATCATTAAAAATAATTAAACACTATTTCAAGTGATCAAATAGGCATTATTAACACAAGGAGAGGACCATCAAAACATGATAACATTCTAATCATCTCGATTCGAATATTTAATTTCTTGATTAAATAAAATAATATCGATATAAAAAATTAGAATGAGATCCTTTACATAAATAGAATATTTTTTTATTTTGAATATGAGCAAATAAATTATCATCTTATAAAAAATAACACGTGGATTACAAACACCATTTTCCTTGCAACCACCATATCCCACGCTCTCCTATACCCCATACTACACCTATTTATATTATATGTCCATGTATTCCTCCACTCCCGTCTCTTCTCGTCTCTTCTCCCCTTCCCTCTTTTATCTTCTCTTTTCTTTTCTTGCTTCTATATATATATATATATATATATATATATATATATATATATATATATGAGATGTAGAGATCATATTGAATCGTTCCGCTTCGGCCCCCTTCCATTTGTCCCATGAGAGGCGGTAGGAATGGGAAGAAGAAAAAAAGGCAAACTTAAAGTAAAGAAGAAGACCTCAATTAATTTGTTTACTTATTGATCCAAAACCGCAAGGAAAGGAAGAGAAAGAGATTGAGGAGGGGTGGGGGGGGGGGGGAGGAGAGATAGCTGAAGAGGCTTTTGTTCTTCATCTAGTTGTAGTTGTATCGTCGATGATGATCCTTTGATGCCGTCTCCCAAATCATAGAAACGCCTCCGACCTCTTCTCGTCTGCGCATCCGACGCGCGCGCGCCTCAGATCGGTGAGCCTCCCCGCTCATCCGCGGATGCGGATGTTTCTTCTGATTTCTTCTCGGGTTTTGTTTTCGCCCGATCGCGGAGCGTGAATCCGATCGGTTTCGTCCGGTTCTTGTTTTCTTGGTTTTGATCCATTTGGTATCTTGCGTTGCGCTGTCGGATTCTCTTTTTGGCTTGTCCGATTTAGTTGAGCATCGCCGACGAGCTCCTCGGATGGCTTTATTCCTCAGATCTACCTCGTGGCTTACGTCTGGTATCTCCTCCTCTCGCCTGTGCTATCTTATCTGTTGGGAGACCATAGAAAAAGTCTTTGAGTTGCTGCTTAAAGTCGATCGGATCTAATTCGCATCACTCTCAATCTGATCGGCAGAAAATTATCTTGTATTGTTTTGTGCATATTTGTCTTTAATTGATGGAATTATACTTCATCTGGTGATGATTACGGAACGGGAACTTAGAGATGTTGCATTTGCAGAAAAGAGAATGCAGTCGGATCTTGGGAAGCTGTTCATTGGTGGGATTTCCTGGGACACCAATGAGGACCGCTTGCGGGAGTACTTCGGAAACTTTGGTGAGGTGGTGGAAGCCGTGATCATGAAGGACCGGACCACTGGCCGTGCTCGTGGTTTCGGGTTCGTTGTGTTCGCCGACCCAGCAGTCGCAGAGCAAGTTGTCATGGAAAAGCATTTGATCGATGGAAGAATGGTAACCATCTAGCCTTTTGTTTTCTGCCTTCTCTCCTTTTCTCCATCAGCCTCGTCTGTCTATATGCTTCGTGCATTGCAAATTATGAATGATAATTTTCGAATTCTGGATTCTGGATTCTGCTTCTTGGGATTCGGACTCAGAATCCCTGATAACTAGCAACTTATTTATGAATTTATACTAACTTGATCGAGTTCTCAGGTTGAGGCAAAAAAAGCTGTTCCCAGGGATGACCAACAGATCCTTAATAGAATCAACAACAGCATCCATGGCTCTCCCAGTCCTGGTCACACCAAGAAGATATTTGTGGGAGGCCTCCCATCTACCATCACAGAGAGCGACTTCAAGAAGTACTTTGATCAGTTTGGCACAATCACTGATGTTGTTGTCATGTATGATCACAACACCCAGAGGCCCAGGGGGTTTGGGTTCATCACCTATGATTCAGAGGATGCTGTAGACAGGGTGCTATTCAAAAGCTTTCATGAGCTGAATGGTAAGATGGTTGAGGTGAAGAGGGCTGTTCCCAAGGAACTCTCCCCAGGGCCCAACATGCGCTCCCCGAGTGCGGGATATAACTATGGTCTGAACAGGGCAAACAACTTTCCCAATGGGTATACTCAGGGATACAATCCAAGCTCGATTAGTGGCTACGGAATGAGGATGGATAGTAGATTAGGACCTTCCTCTAGTGCAAGCAATGGTTTACCTTCATTTGGTCCTAGTTATGGAATGGGGATGAATTTTGAACCTAGTCTGATCCCAAGTTTTGGAGGAAATTCAAGTTTTAGCAACAATATCGGTTATGGACGTGGTTTGAGCCCATATTTCAGTGGGAACTCCACTAGGTACACTAGTCCCATCGGTTATGGTGGGGGTAGTGCAAATACTAGTTCGGTTTTCAACTCAATGTCTCGTAATGCATGGGGTAGTGGAGGTCTTGACTATGCTACAAATTCTACAAGTTCTAATGCCTATATAGCCTCTGGCAGTGGCAGCCTTGGTGGCTTAGTCAATAGCACTATAAACTGGAGCAATGCTTCCCCTATCCCAGCTCAAGTTGGGGGAAGCACGGCAAACTACACTAGTGGGAATCTCAATTATGGAGATCGCTACAATAACTTCAACCTGAGTGGTGGTAATTTTGGAAGGAGCAATAGTCCTAGTGCCGTGAAAACTACTCTTGCTCCATCAAGTAGTGGATATGAAGGATCCTATTCAGAGCTGTATGGTGGCAGTTCAGTATATGGAGATCCTACATGGCGGTCATCATCTTCTGAACTTGGGGGTACTGGTTTGTTTGGTTATGGGCTTGGTAATGCACCTTCGGATGTCGTAGGCCAGAGCTCTGCAGCATATGTGGGTGATTATAACATCACCAATAGACAACCAAATAGAGGTGAGCAATTTCTTTAACACCAGCTCATTTGCTTATATATATTTTGCTGGTTTTGCCTTGAAGAGACACATGTAGCCTTGAGCATGAGGATAAACATGAAACATGAATTGTCCAGTTCTAGATGTCATTGTGAGTGATCAATTTCATGCATCAATTTTCAAAGTTTTAACCTTAAGGCTTTAATCATGGAATGGAATTCCATTTATAGAGTATGTAGTTCCTCTATTCATTGCTTTGTTTGTTACAGATGCTGCTACATATTTTCTTGAGAAAAAATGTGCACTGGAATGTGCTTATATATGCACATACCAGTCTCGGACTGCTAATGATACATTATTTGCTAGATATTAAGAAAATGGTGGTACAAGTTTAACCCTTTCTTGGCATTTAAAGCAACATTCAGCATCACTATTTTTATTCTTAATAATGTTCAAATCCATATCATTCACTGGACAATGTCTGTTTGTGTCAACTACCTTTAGTATCATACTGAAATGTCAACAGATCCATTTATTAGTTTATATCAAAGTTATATATGCTCATGAGTGACATACTTGCTAGCCACTCCAATTGGTATAATAAGACTTACGACTTTATTGGCAATAGCTACATCCCTAATCGATGCACTGATACAATTTAAGTTCCACAAATGTAGAAGATAATTTATACTGCTGAGTTAGGGCAGGAGGAAATGTATAGGTCACAATATGATCTATCAAGACATGAGCTTATGCTGATTGTTGATACCATAAAAAAATACTTCTCACCCACATTTGGAATTATGAATGTCTATTCTGTCGAGTCGATGTATAAAATCCACTTCATTCTTGCCTGCTTAGCTTCTGTGCAATGTTGATGCTTGGCTCCATATGAGTGGAGCCATATGTCAGAGTTTCTTGATTAGTTCAAGTGCTTTCACCGCCTGAAATGATTGTCATCCAAAAAAAAAATTAATAAACACAAAGTGTATATTTATAACCCTGCCGACCACACTCTGAACAAGCAACAAAAAACCATTTGCATTCATTCACAAGATGTCCTCCAGCCCACATAGTTTGACATGATCCTGTAGTTGTTCCATGTTTTGGGTAGGTGGAGTGCCATTGAAACTTTGAGTACCTTGGTGTTGGAATTTTCTTGATGGTCCTTGAAATCCTGAAATATTCTCGGAATTCTCGGAACTCTGTTTGTCTTAGGACTTCACCCAGCTGAATCTCTCATGCTGTTTTCATTCCCTCAACTTAGAGCCCCTTGTCTGCACTCTTTGGAAAAAAGGCTCTTGCTCACATTATCAATTGAATGCTATTAGTTTTGTATAATCTTCCAAATTCTTCTTTTGGTAGCAAAAATGCTACGTGTAGATAGATTTTTGTTTTAAGCTGTTCTTCTTCTGCAATCAAAAGGGAAGCATCTTCATGAAAAGATGGCTTTCTTGAACAATGAACATATCTCAGGTATATGTTCCAGAATCTTTGTCACGTCATCTTTTCTTGGTTCCACCAGTTATACACATTGCCTTGAAGCACATACAAGGCATGTTGTACCATCTCATCTGAGGTTTCTGCAACTAAGAAAGGGTTTAGCTGCTTCATCAAAGAGTGTAGGAAAGTCATTTTAACTTATTTACACCACCCGACGTAGTAAGTTCTGTTACATTACCTAAGCCAGTCGTCATTGTTGCATTTCTGATGCCAGCCCAACCATGAGTTGTATTACTTGGAGCATCATCCTTGATCGATGACACTTCCTAAATCAAGTGCTTTAGTTTACTAGACAAATGGTAGAGCTACTAGAACAAATTTGTGACCGAATATCATCTACTTATCCTCATAAATATCAAGCTGCCAAAAAGAAGCATGGGTCTCTGGATTTTGAAATGGCCCCTAATCTGACCCAAAACTAGTCAGTCTTAGTGAAGCTTTTTACTAAATCAACAACCAGTCCTTTGGACATGGACTGCTTAATAGTGAAAAACCAACCTAACTATGCAACCGACAAATGGTTCAAGAAATTTGCAATTGGCATGTAACTTCTTATTCAGATCAAAATGACTACTAACACGTGAAATGGATTTGTAAACCTCAAGTTTCACCTCTGGAAATGTGATAGCACATAAATTCCAAACATAATGAAAGTTTTATAATATTGGAAATTATAATTTAGTTAAAATTACAAGTGTAAATTGCATATTTGGCATTCGATGGTAGATCTTTTGCATCAAAACCTCATTGATTGATTATTCTTTTATGAATTTCTAGTGTTTCAGGATCTGTCTACTTCAATCCTCAAGTGTAACATCTATCTTTCTTAATCTGAAAAGAAAATGTATGCTACATCCCTTGCTTCATAAAAGAGAGAAGAGAGGCAGAAGATATGAAACAAACTGATATACACTATGAAATTGGAAACAATAAGTGAACATGGTGAAAAAGAAAAGGGTCAGCTTGTCAACAATGGGTTGGAGACAGTGCCAGTTTTTGGTGTTGATTTTTATTGGACTTGGGTATCACAACAAAGGAGCTTGTATACCACTACAGGCTGTGAAATAGAGGTTGACAGTACCACTTCAGATTTTGTTTATCTCCTCAGGCTGCTTACATCTTTGATTGGTTCGAGTGATGAATATGGCTTAGAAATACAAACTTCAGGGACACATACTGGCGTAGGATGTCGGCAATAATATGCCTTTAGTATCGCTCTAGGTTATTTCTGAGAAATAATGTTGGTATCAGCTTTCTTCCATGGAATTCCAGCAATAATGCTGCACATGTTAATTGAGCATCAGATTATAACTCTTCTTACCCACTAGGAGGGATAAAATTGTTTTATTTCTGCTTCTTGTTATGTGGTAATCAACTTCAGCACATCATTTTGCATAAAACCAGCAAAAGATAAGAATTGGCCACTATATATACTATATAGCTTGGATGAAAATTTTTCATAATAATTATTGACTAACAGTCCTATGGTTTTAAGAGGCTATGATGCCATTCAATAGATATGGACAAGTCTTCAGCAAATTTATAAATCTTCAAGGGGCTTATATAGATGAAACCTAAAACAAATGACAAATATGTATCCAAAATAAAGGCAGTTGTCTCTTAACTGAAGTGATATGTTCAAACTGGACTCTATCATGCTTCCGTATGTTGTCTGTGATGCTTTATAGAGCTTGTGTTGCCTCTTCCTCATATATTCTCTCCTAATATTGTGCAATATACATTGGCAGAGAGCTGAAGTCGTAATCCTTTTTTTTTTTCAGTAAAACATGTTATTATGGATTCAGAATTTTCTTCTTGAATTTTGAACAATAAGAACATTTTCCTTTGTAAATCTATATCCTGATATTGAATTTTTTGTTGCAGATTTGCTACATAACTTGGTGCTTTGAGATCAGAGAGTATTGTAGGTGAACAATCTTGTGAGCCAGATGCATGACTGTTAGTTTTACATATCTCGTAAAATATGTGGTGGTTAGTTAATTTTATAGACTAACCAGGGTGGTTTTTGGAAAAAGAAAAGAAACAAAAGATTTCAGATTCAGAAGATTCGAATAAAGGTTCTTGTGTGAAGGTTTGGAATTTGAGTTTAGTTCCACATGTCATGTAGGTTTTGTTTCTTTGGGTTTGATTGAGATGTAATCTTATCACGGGATAGTCATAATTATTCAGATTTATGCGACTGATGTGCCAAATAGACCTAGTAATGTCTTTAAGAAAAGAAAGATAGCAAGCTGTTGTAATATCTGGCGAACGTGTTGGTTCTTGTCGGGTGCTCTATCAATCTTTTCTTTTTTTTTCTCTCTCTCTTTTCAGTTATATTTGTCACCAGAGATTTGGTTGTCTTTGTTTAGTTTGGAACTTACAGGGGATGCTTGCTGGTCCCATGACAACTCCATTATATGTATGGTGATTCATTTCTTCGGTATGGTGCATCATATCAAGTCATAAACATGTGCTGTGCATTTGCTTTTGCTTATGTTTTGTTTTTGGTGAACCACTTGGTAGCAACATGGCTTTTTTGCTGTAGTGTGTGGGCACTGTCTTGTGGGTCTCCATGAGATTATATTTTATATATTCGATGCTTTTTTTTTTATGCTCTTGCTCCTAAAGATTGACATATCAATATTTCAATTTTCTTTTTGGCTGTCAAAGTGTATTCTTTCTACACTAGATTGTACAATGAAAAAGGGTTCACCATGTTAATGTGGTGCCTCGGCATCCAAACCATGCTTGTCATTTGTCACAGGTATTGTTCCTGCACTAATAAAGTCAGTGCTGTACCCTTTTGGAATAACAGCACTTAAGCATTGGAGATTCAACACTGCAACCATCATCCCAGAGAAATTAAGAAAGGCATTCATCAGCTGATCCAGGCTGCTGCTGGCACCTCACCCTGATATAATAGATCTGGTATTAATCTATGCCAACTTTTCTGTTTATTTATTTATATTTTTTTCATTATATTTATAATGTTCTGTGCTCATCTGCATTTTTTTATACCCTAATCCCATAAGGCTATTATTGTTTATGTCAATCCATTGTTTGGACTCGTTAAAAATCCTAATCTCAAACTATTTTTGCACGGTGGCAAATTAGGGCCCCAATTTGTAAATCTTCCAGAGTTTTAAATGATTTATGTTTCAATATGTCAAATCAGGTTGCCAGATTTTTAACCTGAAATCTTAGAAACTAGTTAGAAATACATCACATCGAATCAGGCTGCAAAATGGCCTAAGTAAATGAAGGAACAGCTAATTCCAATAACACGAGACTTAAATAAGATTTAATAATCTATCTTCAACCCTAATCCATTTGATGCTAAACGATTCCATTATGGCATGAGCTGGGTGTCCATAATAGACATTGAAAGCCCGGTAATAATACAAGCATCAAACAGGTAGCCGGTCTCCTCAGTATGGACCATCATTCACTCGAAGGTGTAATAATACAAAGGTCCTTGTGCTTCCACATGGCTCTATCCCCATTAAAGTAAGATATTCTCCTCATATTCGAAGGCAAGTTTTGACAATTGAATCAAACGATTTGGAAGCTCCTATTTATATAAAACGACTAAGAAAATTAATTAGGCTTTGCATATTGAGTTACGATTGTCTGAAAATATCTAAATCATTTTGTAATTATCAAATCGGACTATATGTCATGGGAATAAAAACCAGGCTGTTTTTGTTACACGGAGACCGTTACGTTACAATGGACAAACCGGTTTAGTCTTTCGATACCATTAGACGGTGCGCAGTTCAAAGTTTAAATTCTCAGGCGAATAAAATATGTCCTGATTAAGACACAGCCCTCGCTGCAACGGCTCTTTCTTTGCTAGTGGCTTTCCACTTGGCACTCCTTCAGTGGTCGCTTCTCCTTCCATATATGTGTTCCGACGGACCATCTGATCCTTCCCACCCTTCAAATTATTTGAATCGCGTTGAGGCGCTCCCCCTCCCTCGTCTTCCTAAGCCTCATATTTCGTCATCGTCATTCCCATTGTTACCATTGTCCACCAAAGAAGGCAGAAGGCGGAGCAGATCGAGCAATGGAAGCCTTGCGAATCCAGCCCCCGAAGCCTTCCGCCCGATCGATGCTCTCTCCCCTTTTCCCTCGATCTCCCTCCTCCGCCGCCCGCAAGAAGGCTCCTCCTCTGGTTTCCAGATCCGGGAGGGAGAACGCGAATCCCAACGTCCACAATGACCCTCCGCCCTCGCCTTCTCTTCTTGCTGGCAAGGCGTCGCCTCGCCGGGCCGATGGTGTTCTCCGGAAGGAGCGTCCAAGACTGGTCGATGCGTTGCCCGGAGATGATGTTTCCCCCGATCCCTCTGATCCTTCGGTCAAGGTTTCCGCTTTCTTTAATTCCTACCCATTAGATTGTGATCATTTTAATTTCCCTATTGAAGAAGATCCTTCTTTCAAAACCCTAGCTGCAATGTATGTGGTTCCAAGAAATTGTAGATGTTGATTTCCAATTCAGTATGTCATTCCATGTTGTTTTTGGTTGTCAATTTGCCAAAGTGATTAGATGTGGAAAACTAGTGAGAATTATATGGTAAGACTTGAGCGTAAACTTCCTGTTTCGGCTTTCTCTAGGTGGTGGTCAGAGTAAGACCAGGGAACGAACAGAAGCGAGCAGATGAAGGCGCCGTTCGCAAGATCTCGCCTGATTCTTTAGTAGTTGGAGGTCGTTCTTTCACTTTCCATTCGATTCTTGGTCCAGAGTCCACCCAGGTATGAAGCTACTGTCTCACCCCAATGACTTTGGCTGTAATTGGAGAGCTTTCCCTTTCTATGCCCATCCATTTTCTCCTCAGGAAGATGTCTTCAAGACAGTCGGCATACCTTCGGTGAACTATTCTTTGGCAGGCTTCAACACTTCGATACTATCGTATGGACAGGTGCTTGATGCGTAGGAAGTTACTGCTCATGTTGTTCATGATAAAGACTTGTCTGAATCGATTGAATTCCATGTATGATCTACAGACCGGGACTGGGAAAACCTACACGATGTGGGGTCCTGCCGGTGCCATGGTCGATGGCAGTTCTGTTAACGGTGAGCAGGGCGTCGCTCCTCGGCTCTTCAGGATGCTGTTCTCCGAGATTCACAGAGTAGGTTCTGTTATTTTCTGCTTGAGTCAGCTATTGAAACGTAATTAACTCTTCCCTGGCACGTTACATTCTTGATTATAAAGATACGACATCATGAGCCATGATGGTTTTAGTTGGCCTCAGCAATTTCTTCTGCAAAACTTCGAATTTCTTTCAGAAATTTTTACATGCTGCATGAATACAACAGTTTGTTCTATTTTTCGCTTGCGTATCATTTACTCTTTTCATCACTCAGAAGCAAGAGAGCTCAGAAGAAAAACAAATAAACTTTCAATGTCGATGTTCGTTCCTTGAGGTGAGCTACTATCATCCAAGCATGTTCATTTATAATCTTCCGGCATATGCTCTTTAATTTATTTTGTTGCATTGCTTTCGCAGATATATAATGGTCAGATAAATGACTTGCTTGATCCGACTCAAAGGAATCTTCAGGTACACCACTGGCATACGCTTGTAAATATTTGGTATCCTGTATTTTGTAGTGTTATGTTAGATATGTTACGCAGCAAATATGAGTCGGTTCTTTTCTCTCTCAGATAAGAGGTGATGCTAGGAATGGTTCCCATGTGGAGAACCTGACTGACGAGTATGTCACCACGGTTGAGGATGTTACCCAACTTTTGGTCAAGGTAACAATACCCTATATCTTTTGTATGATTTGCTTTGCATTTGTCACACAGATATAGCTAGAAAAATAAGTGCAGCCTCTTCAGTAATTAGGGAGACCAAAAAGGAAACCTTTTTTCGATGTGCAAAATTTTCTCAACCTGTCTACTAAGTGTGACTCGAGTTTGATGTTGATTATGATGCCTTCCATTGTATGTTTCTTTCATCTTGAGCCATTACTTTGATGCGTTCATCGTTGCTCTCGCTCTTTTGTGTTGCTCCTTGACGATAGAAAGTGTTTTCTTCTCCAAGCAAGCGTCTTGACACTTCCATTTATGTATATCCGGTAGTCACAGATACAAGTATGTTCATGCATTGACACACGTTATAGTCTTCTAATTTTGTAACTTTCATTTGTTCATCACCCATATCAATGAATTGGCATGATTTTGACTGGAATTCCAAAAGGAACTTACGTTAAAATCGAGATTTTTTTTCTTTATAATTCTCTCGATTATTTTAAATTTTTTTTTATTAGCATGCAATCCATCACACTGACATGTGGTTTTTTGTCTCTCCAAATTTGAAACTTGATATTTTGTTTTTATTTATGGTTTGAGCTTTACAATCATACAATGTCAACGTGACACAAAAAAGAAAACCTCTATCATGCCTGTAGACGTGTAACCTGAATATATTATTCTATATTTGAAATTAAGTAGCATTTTTTTGTAACAATCAGCTGGAGTTTTTTTTTGTTCAAATACCCATTGTACTTTGTGTAATTTCGTCACATGTTCAATAAATAAATTTGTACTGCATTTTTTTAATTAATTTATATTGGGTTTCAGCATTTTGCATAATTATGGTGCAGGGGCTTGCAAACAGAAAAGTAGGTGCAACGAGTATGAACTCCAAGAGTTCACGTTCTCATATCATCTTCACTTGCATAGTGGAATCCTGGTGCAAGGTATATTTTGTGATCTTTCTGAAATTCTAAACACATTTTTGGTCTCTTGGTTTTCTTTGTTGCTCTACATTCGTGATTTTTTTATGAGATATGAAAGTAAACGATTTATTTTTATCTTTCACAAGAAGAACTATATGGATTTCCCCATCCTCAATGTCATTGTTAACATCATTCCCGTTTGGCCTTTATTTATTTGCAGCTGTCAGCATCAAAGTGTTTTAGCAGTTCAAAGACTAGCAAAATAATCCTTGCTGATCTTGCTGGAGCAGATGATGGCATACTTGATGCTACTGGCAAACAATGTGTTAGAGAACGGAGGCATATTAAGAAGTCTCTTTCAAAACTTGGGTGAGAAATTGCACCTCACATTATCTATTATGGTTACAGTTAGCGAAACAACAAGAAGATATCAGCTCTTCTATCAACATGCTTTATGCTGTAGCATCTTATTATACTTTATGAATGTGCCATATGCTACCTCATACATTAGTCTATCAAACCATGTCCATTGCATGTTTACTCCTAGTTTACTCATAAGATGTAGTCTTGTTTAGATGGACTTCTCTAACATTTTTATCTAAATAAATACAGAAAGTTGGTAAACATCCTTGGAGACGCCGAACATCCTCCAGAAGACCACAAAGTCGCATACATGGGTTCCTGTTTGACTCATCTATTGCAGGAGACACTCGGTGGTAATGCGAAGGTTGCAGTTATATGTGCAATTTCTCCTGATGGCGGGTACTTCATGAGACTAAATCTACAGAAACACCATATTGTACCCTTAAAAAAAACCTATATCATTGTGCAGATGAATCTAAATATTGTATTGAATACAGTTCTCGAGGTGGAACACTGAGTACACTCAGATTTGGAGACCGAGCGAAGCAGATACAAAACAAGGCAGTGGTAAATGAAATAACTGAAGACGACGTTAATGATTTGAGTGATCAAATACGACAGTTGAAGGTCAATTCTTTACATGACTATAACCTTTGAGGTACATTAGTTAGCTGCAGTATCATTATACTTTGTTCCCTGACTGCAGGAGGAGCTTATGAGCACAAGGCTGGATGAAGGCAAATCTGTTGCGACAGCAGATGGACATTTTAAAGGGCGAAATGGCCGTCAAAGCTTAAATCTTCTAAGAATGAGCCTCAATCGCTCTTTAATTTTACCTCATATTGATCCGGAATCAGATGAAGAAATGGACGTTGATGAAGAAGATGTCAGCAAACTCTGCATTCAATTGGGTAACATGAATTATTCTGCAGAAAACGAGTCAAAAGATAAGTTAGAAAGCAAGGATGCAATGATAATTGCTGATACTGAAGGTCCAAATGCAGACCAAGACAGTCGAACAGACTTAGCTACGGTTGATTCTTGTGGCCACGAAGTTAATTTTAACTCTTCCAAGGAGATTAGGCTTGTGGAAATGCATTCAGAAGTATCTGAAAGAGAAACAGCTAACAACCACAGCGCTACACCACAAGAGGGCGATTCCAAGATCACAAGTACCATTACATGCAAAGATTCTCTAAGAAAATCTGGCCTGTCCATTCCCTGCCAACAAAGGCCGATGCTTCAAGATCCTATTTTGTGTTCATCTCCTAAACTCGCAAAGATTTTTGAGAAAACTAGTGTCTCATCCGAGAGTCCTAGGCCTAATTTACATTTAGAATCAGTTAGAAGATCTGACATTATCCGCTCCTCCTTGCAGTCAAGTAAGGCCAGCCCAACTGACTCCTTGGCTGTCAGCCTACACAGAGGCTTGCAGATTATAAATTATCATGAGAGGAACTCAGCCGCAAGAAGCTCTTTTGTAGGTCTCTCTTTTGAACACTTGACGAACATATCAAGCCATTCCAAGGATAAGGTTGATGCCGGTATGCAAACTGTACTCGATGAGGGAACTGCTTCTCCTTTACTCTGTTCAGCTTGCAAGAATGTTGTAGATTTTATCGGATACAAGGAGGCAAGTGAGACACCAGATATGCAGATTGTGCCAGTCAATGAGGCAAGCATTATTATTTTCATGTTGCAGAAAACTGCCATACTTTTGTTTGAACTTTTTAACTTTTATTTCTGCTTGTGATTAAACATTTGTTCTTGTTAACTAGGATGTAAATGCGCCTTTAGCCAATATCACAAAGAGAGAGAAGGAACTCGAAGCTCTATGTGCAGAGCAGGCAGCAACGATCAAGCATCTGAGTTGCTTGGTATGTCATGTGCGGATACAAGCTTCCGAATACAAGGAATTTTATTTTCGGCAGTAAACTTCTGTTGAATGACTGGTAGATGAAATTGCAGGTTGACAAACAAAAGCAGGAAGAGGTCCAAGCTAAACAGAATGTGCTAGCTGATAACTGCATGGTTCGTCTTCAGTTAGTACTTTCTTGTTATTTGAGATCCCTTAACAAATGATCTTAAGGCTAATTAATCTTGCAGATCACTGAAAACCATCTCGAGGGGTCGATGGTGAAGTGCTCGTCGAAAGAAATTGTGGATCACCTGCATCGTGATGATGAGAGGGAAGCATTGCTCATGGAAATTCAAAGCTTAAAAAACCAGCTAAAGTCTGTGAAGGATGTTTCAGAAAATAATTGTCTTCTTGAGCAGATAAGAAATGGTGGAACCTCTTGTTCAGGAATAGGGGTGGAGGAGTTTGAGATGGAAAAGCGGAAGTGGATGGAGTCTGAGAGCAGATGGATCTCTCTCACCGAGGAGTTGAGACTTGACCTCGACAAAAACCGCAGGTTTGCAGAGAAGAAAGAGATTGAACTTAACATGGAAAAGAACTGCACTACGGAGCTGAACGATGCCCTGCAGCGAGCGATCCTTGGGCATGCTAGAATTGTCGAACACTACGTAGAACTGCAGGAGAAGTATGACGAGTTGCTACTGAAGCACCGGAAAATCATGGAAGGAATTGCAGAAGTGAAGAAGGCAGCTTCAAAGGCAGGAGGCAAGGGTTCTGGTTCTGCTTTTGCTGCAGCTCTTGCAGCAGAGCTGTCAACCCTGAGAATTGACAGGGAGAAAGAGAGGGCCTATCTCAAGGAGCAGAACAGGAGACTAACAATTCAACTCCGTGATACAGCAGAAGCTGTACATGCTGCTGGAGAGCTTCTTGTTCGACTGCGAGAAGCAGAAGAAGCAGCTGCTCTAGCAGAGGTGAGCTCTCTGAATCCTATACTGTGAACGGCATCTCAATTTCTAGTAGTATGACCACAGTGAACTTACCAAGCAAGAAGTTTCCTTGGTTTTTGGATATCATTCACTCATTAATTCTTCTTTGGAAATGCTTTGCTGAGAATTGAAACAAATGTCTAATCTTGTTGACACAGGACAAGCATGGGAAAGCCCAGCACGAGGTGGAGAAAATGAGGAAGCAGATGGAGAAGCTGAAGAGAAAGCATGCGATGGAGCTGGTCACCATGAAACACTTCCTTGCCGACAGTCGGTTGCCTGAATCGGCACTGAAGCCGCTCTATCACGAGTCCGAGATAGTGGAAGAGGGCAAAGCTACTGCGACTGATGATGATCAATCATGGAGGGCTGCATTCCGGCCTTCGTACCAATAGATCAACGGAAATGGAGGAGTTTAGACTAATCCAAGATGTCTTGGACGGGGAGGGGATGATACGATAGGGCTCGAGGGATGAGTTGCTTTTACTTGTTGCCCTTGTAATATTTCTTCAGGAGCGAGGCCACTATTCCCTTTGGCAACATCAACGCATTGTTACCCTCTCGATTTGGTGTGTCCTATTGTAGCCTTCGTTTGATTGATTTGGATATTTGATTCGTGGTTGGTTCAAAACTAGATCAGAATTAGAATGATCCTTTTTTTGTCAATGTTCTTGAATTCCTTGTTGTATTTTTTATCTTCTTGATTACAAAATCAAATAAATAACATATATTGAAATCATGCGATTATTGTCGGGAATGAGATTTCAATAAATAAATAAATGTCAGAATTTTATGAAATTGGAATTAGAATGATTTTATAACATGTTTGGTTCATATACTCCGACGATTACAATGACAGATATGTTTGTATATGTGTGTTGCTTGAACCTCAAAATTAAAACTAAAATTGAAGATAATGTTGGATATTTCTAAAATTTTTAATTTGTATTCTTTTTCTTCCTTAATGCCTGTGGTACGCATATTCATCTTTTTTTTTTCTTTTTTCTCCTGTGGATCGGTCTGTGAACAAACTAGTTATCGTATTTTTACACCATGGATCAATTTTTTACGCTATGTTATATTGATAATATTAAAAAACACTTATATGAGATAGTATAAAAATATTTTATATTAAGTAATAATATTTTCTTAATATTATTTAAAAACTTATAATATATTTTATAAAATATATTTTAAAAAATCTCAAAGCAGGCGGTTACGAGCTGTCCTCACCCTCCGCCCAAAAAAAAAAACAGAAAAGACTGCTAGAGGCAATTAAATGTTATATCATCATAGAATATCTTATCCCTTTAAGACTATATGTAAAAATTTATATTCAACACAATGAAATGAAAGCTTATCTTTTTTTAACCATTTTGCATTAGCACTCATATACCCTAGATTACCAATTTGGGTGGCAAAAAGATTGAGTCAAGAAACATTTTCCAACCTTAGTCTTTGTGCAGGTGATACCTCGAGAGTTCGGTATTTCCACCTCAAAGGCACCTCAATGCATATGAGTCTGGACCTCATCGGATTAATTAGGACGTCAACAACTTCTTCTCTCAATATTTTTGTTATTAAAAGGAGGGCCTGACGTCACAGAAATATTTAGCCACTAATCCTCTCAATAAATGCTTGAGCAAGGAGGTTTGCCCTCGACCCATAGTTCTTTCACTCCCGGGGGGCCACAATCACCCTTTTTAAACATGGACGCATTCATCTTGGCGCTTAAATACTAATGCGGTACTAGTGTATATTCAATGACTCAGGCCTCTCACTCTTAAGGATGACCCGAGTCACCTGCTCATCCTTATCGATGTGTTCTTGAATTTCACCCAGCAAATACAGATGTTAATGAGAATGATACAGGCTGTCGCTTCACATTTTCCCTAGTTAGTCCAATAGGCGACACCACTAACTCAGCTACAATCATCGGCTTAATTGCCACTAACACTAGCACCTATCGAGGTTCCTCCATTAGACATGGTATTGACATCCCAAGAGCACCGAAGACCCATTGAACCGTTGGCTGAGAGGGTACTTTGATCCCCAACCATAAAATTCAACGGACCACACCATTGTACCTTACCTAAATCTGAGATCCAATCGGTCGATTCAATGGAAGATTCCATGTGGATCCAACTAGGCATATAGATCGATGTTTGGAGGAGATACGATGAGAGTTTCAATAATCAAAGGGGAAGCCCTAGTCAACCCCACCTTAGGTCGATTGACATTCACTTAGAAAATTCAAGAAAAATCAATTTTAGCAAACTTTCACCTCCTGTCATTGGAGACATTTGATGACAGTACTGAATTAATAGAGCACATTATAGCTTTTCGTGCCCAAATTTTATTGTATTGTCCTTTGGATGTTATGATGTATTATACCTTCCCGATCATGAGAATGGTACGCCGCTTGAAGTAGCTTTCTATCAGTTCTTTTGATCAACTCACAAGAGAGTTCAAACTTCACTTTATTGGGAATGTGCACTTATGACCATCAATGATAATGCTTCTCGGATTCAGGCAATGAGAGAAGGAAATGCTTGTAGACTTTGCTGCTTGGTTCACCAATGAAATTCAAGGCATGATAGATGCCCATCCGTCGCTTAGAATATAGACCTTCATAATGGGGAGGCCACCGGCAATACTACCATTAACACTTCAGGGGGTCAATCAATATATTATCATTTAGGTAATGGTCTCTAGTAAGCATAAGTCATGTAAGAGGCTAAAGCAAGAGCGACCATAACCCCACCCGACTTTGAGGTCATCGTAGTAAAGAGGAATGAATGACCCGTGTTACCTTGCTCAAGGTCCAAGCTGACCACTCTGAATATATCTAGAACTGAAGTTTTTCTACAAATAAAAGAGAATGAGATCTTGAAAGACCCTCACCCGTAAAGACTCCATAAGCAAAAAGAGATAGGTAAAAATATTATCGGTTCCATCGGGTTTGCGATCATAACACAAAGGATTATCATGACTTGAAAGAATAAATTGAAGAACTCACACATTGAGGACACATAGTGCGATTCATCCAAAAGCACTAAGAACCCTCACCCCAACCTCAAGGGTTGATGGAGAGACAGATTAACGTTATAATTTATAAATCAACCTTGGGAGGAGACAACTCCTCAGGTAGTAAAGCTTATGCATGAGCTATAATTGAAAAGTATCCTAGGACAAAAGATGACTTGGAAATAACCTTCAAGGAGGAAGAAACAAAGTTCCTTGACCCGAACCATGATGATACCATGGTAGTTTCTATAAGGATGATTAATGCTCGGGTGAAGATAGTCATGATTGATATAGGTAGCTCTATCGATATACTCGACTTGATGTCTTCTAGAAATCTAAGCTCTCGATTAATGACCTTACTCCTATGACTTCTTTATTGACAAGGTTTACTAGTGACTTTATCTCTCTTCTCAAGACCATGAACATGCACGCCTTATTAGGAGATAAGTTTTGCTCCAAAATATTACTAGCTAGATTCATGATGGTAAATATCCTCTCGACATATAATGCAATAATAGATTGACCCACATTGAATAGACTAAGGGTGATAGCAAATCTACTTCACCAGCCCTAAGCACAAGGACCTCTAATAGTATTGCTATGTAGCTTCGCCATCGCCTCATTTTTTTATCCCTCTTGCAAACCCTCCCATCTTGTTTGCAGTGGTATATTTGAGATAGAGTTCAGTAGGTCGACTATCTACAATGTCGCGAAGGGCAATGACTTACCCTTGTATAGGTCAAACATTAAACTATCTCTCTCTCTCTCTCTCTCTCTTCTTTTACCCGAGGAGGACCTCAACAATACATAGATCAAATATTGACCTCTAAAAATGTTGATGCCTTGAAGATAGGAGCCTATTCGTTCAGTTCTTTCGTGAGAATCCGCTCCTTCTCGTGTTCCTTATCTCATGTGAGAGCGAGGCACCTTATGACCTTCTTCTTTAACTTGTCAGTGCTAGAAGGACAGTCGAACTGAGTCGAGCTCGATGCCTCGATCGACTGCTCATGAATATTAGTTGAAAGAGTTAAAAAGGCCACTATTGTGCCCGAAGAGGAATTAACTCCTTTTTTCTTCAAAGTCCAAAAGTACATACTTATAGAAAATCAAAATCATGATGCTACATGTGTTTATTTTTTTAAAAGCGAGAAGATGGAGTGTTTAAGTCATACTTTGAGAAGACAAGTTGAGACCCATGCTGATCAGCCAGTACTCGTTCATCTTTCGAATAGTTTCGAAAGAAGAGAGTATATCTCTCAAACGAAACACTTGATTTACCTCCTCGTTCGACAAGATGGGAAGTGTATTATCTATGGTGCGTGTCGATTATGTAAGATTAAACTATCAACCTCAAGCTGAACATACGAGGAAGAAATGCTCATTTTATCCCCTTATTGTTAGAAGGGGCACCACTAACTCTGAAGCTCTCACTAGCAACCATGTAGTAGTCACTTTCCCCTTACACAGTTAAAAGCAGACAATAAAAAGTTTACAGGTCAGGGTAATATCGATGCGCTAGCATTCTTCGATAAATACTACTAAGTAGTGTCACGAGTTGGGTACTATATGTGAGGGCAATATCCTCCACCATTAGAGGCAAAACACTATCCCCAAGTAGAGAAGAAAATGAAGTCTCATCTCTAGAGCACGAGAAGACAAGCAAAATGATCTAAACATAAGGTCGAATGAATGATGATCAAGCTGAGGGATTTGCAAATCAATCTCAATCGAGATGGAATACTTGGTCCACAAGTGATCCAAGAGTTGTGTATTCACCATTGAGTCTTTATTGTACATGCTTTTTATGACTCTCTTAAAGAATCTTTAGGTTCACGGATAAAGGATGAGGGGGAGGTCGGGACTTCCTCTGCCCTTGGACTATCCAAGGATGAAACATCAATCTCCTTGACCATCTAATGGCCATAAGATTGGGAGGAGCTTACGTGAGAAATGAAAGATATCTCGACCAGTAAAAGCAAAAGAGCAGGATATTGGAAGACTAAGGTGTTGCCGAGCTGACATACCGAGAGGACGAGGAACCCATGAACTAACTCGCATTGCAGAAAATCAAAGCTAAGTAGAGGCGGCTCCAAGAAGGCCTTTGAGGCTCAAATGGAAGAATGAGCCTCACTCCTCCTAGTAAAAGGGGATTTATAAGGAAATAATCTATCTCTCTCCTCCTGTGGTGAACATAAGTGTCCCTTCAAGTTGATTCTGAAGGGACATTAATTGATGATGGAGCACCTCGAAAAGCACAAAAGTGATCAATATGAGAAAAACCTGACTTGCATAAGAAGAAACCCGCTATGGCAGGAGGCACGAGACAAAATATGCTCAAGGCACGTGAGTTAAGAAAATCTAACAAACGTTAAAAGAAACCCGTCATAATGGGAAGCACAAAACAAAATGTGCCCAAGGTGCATAAGACGGGAAAAATTGACCTCCATCAAAAGAAACTAACTCACCACGACAAGAGGCACAAGATAAAATATACTCGAGGCATAAAGATCAAAGGTGCATAAGTCAGGAAAAACTGACCTGCATTAGAAGAAACCCACAACAACAAAAGACACAAGATAAAATATACTCGAGGCATGGAGATCAGGAAACCTAACCCCGTCTCCACCGGAGGCAAGATTGGGAGAGTGACGAATAGGTCGAAAAACCCGACCCATTCTAACCAATGTGCATCCCTCAACGATACGAGGGGTAGGTCGATAATAGATCGCCACTAGCAATGTTGGGGGAGGTGATCCTAGACGAATATATTGGATGATACGAGAGGCACAATGGATTAGACATGTCAGGCGAACTTATGATAGACGAACTAAAGTTGTCACCAGGTCAATAATGGATCAAAGAGGTATAAGTTTGACATGCTCGATGAGCTAGACGTCACACTTCAAACCCCTATGACAATAGCCCTGAAGCATGTCTTTTAGAAGGGGGGTAGATGGGACAAATAATAGAGAGTACGCTGTCAACTAATCGTCATCCGATACGTAATTTCCACATGATGTCCATTCATTTGCTCACGTGGGCAATGGTCAAAGATAAACAGTTATAAGTTGTCTCTCCACTTGTCACTCACGTGGATAAGAGGTCAATGAGAGGCTATTGGAGGTAGTTAGAGATTGCATCCCCATATAATATTCTATGAAATATTCTATCGTGGGACGATCAGATATAAAAGGTCATTTTCAACACAATGAGAGGGGGTTTACCTTTTTTAACCACTCGTGTCAGCACTCATATATCTTTGGTTACTGATTTGAGCATTGGAGGGATTAGGTCGAGAAACATCTTCCGACCTCAATCTTTGTGCAAGTGACATCTTAGGAGCTCAACGTTTTCACCTTGAAAGCACCTCAAATAACCCCACGTTAATAAGTTCAGACTACGTCGGATTGATCAAGACATCGATGACTTTTTCTTCGATAAGAAAAAAAATAAAGAATATTATTTGAGGTATTAGAAAAAAAATATATTATTTAAAAATTCTGAAAATGAGAAAGGTTTCTCAAAAACAAAATATGACACTGAAATAATGAGATTTTTGAAACCAAATGGATAATACATTCGGCAACGACGTTTCGAATTTGCACTCGTAAATAAATTTTACGTAAAATTAAGATGGCCGCTGTTCTCCGGCCATTAGTTGCACCATTCACAAGAAAGGTACCCGATTGGGTAACGATTAAACGGGTAAGAAAATCTTCTCCTAAAAAGACATCTGCAACGATAAGGCAGAGCCGAGCGCGAAGCGAGGTGACATCGGTTGAAACAGGGGTTCCGGCGAAGATGGCGACTCAAAACCCTCCGGAGCTCGAGACGGATGACTCCGAACAAGAAGAGGGAGAGGGTTATGGCAGCGGTGGAGGCCTAAACCCTGAGATCAAGCCTTCGGGTGCGGGTGTCTCGGGCCCGCCCCTCCTGTGCCTCATCCGATTTGCCAGTGATTCGGCCGCCGGCGCTCTAATGGGATCCGTATTTGGTTACGGTCTGTCCTTCTTCGTATCTCTTCCTCTTCTCCACCAATTCTTTGTCCCAACTGCTTTGTTCATTCGCCTACAGCCTGTACCGTGGAATTCGTGAACAAAGAGATACCAAGAACATACGGAATCGGCTCGAACTGGAACTTAGTAATATATGCTCAGAGGCAAGCCATGGCTAGAGGGATTAGGAGCTCAGGGGGTATACTGCCATCAAGACGGGAGGGCGGGATCTTGGATTCACTCTTAACTTCTAATTTTCGCATTTTATGTTAAGACATTGGATGATTAGACTAGGTTAAGAAGTTTGCATTAACTACTGAAGTATGATTTCATAATGTTAGAGGGCTTAAGTGTTAATTAATTTCGATCTTCTTTATATGTCTGGTTTTCATGAGTGAAGAGACAAAGTGGTTTCTGTATTTAGAAAGGAATTTGAAGAATTAAGAGAGCAAAGATCGATACAAGAGGGGTGGCAGCTGAAGATGCCATATCTTGATTCTTGGGCTTCTAATCGGTAGGGTATGCTTTGGGACGTTGAATGTCTATTTAGGCTTTAGTTAAGAAGCTTGCATTAAGTGCCGAAGCATGATTTTAAAATGTTAGAGGCCTTAAATCTGAATTAACTTTGATCTTCTTTGTATGTCTAGTTTTGATGAGAGTAGTAGAGGAAAGACTGGAGTAATGAGAACACAAAAACTGATACGAAGAGACAAAGTGGATTCTGTATCTAGAGAGGTATTAGAAGAATTAAGAGAGCAGACATTGATACAAGAGAGGTGGCAGCTGAAGATGCCATGTCTCGATTCTTGGGCTTCTAATCAGTAGGACATGCTCTGGGACGATGCATGTCTAGGCATAATCAATGGCACTTGGTAGAAGCTCATGTCAGCCTTGCAAACTGTTGTGTGCCCCATGCCCTGCCGGTCTGCTTGAGACACGGATTCACATTGACCAGGCCCTGCTTCATTGTAATTAGATTGGAGCAAAAACTTGTGGTTTGGGGCATAGTTCAGGTGGTAGATTATGGTCCGATCTTATTCAGCCTGTGTTTTACTGGGCAATTATTTTTAGTGGTGATTGCATCTTCAAGGTTGTTTGTTATGAAATCCTCGAATTTAGATTAATATTTCTGAATTTTTAGCATTGGTAACTCATGAATGGTTATAGCTACTTCGATGGATATTTTTGCAGGATCAGGCCTAATGAAGAAGAAAGGATTTAAAGGTTCTTTTGCAGATGCTGGGTCCTTGGCTAAGGTTTTGCAATTAGTAGTGAAATTTTTTTCTTATCTGGTCATTTGTTTTGTTCTTATACTGATCCTACTCAGCCACTTCGAATCAGATCTATTTAACTAGTACTCTTTCTTATGCTAGACATTTGCAGTTTTGTCCGGTGTCCACAGTCTTGTTTCCTGTCTCTTAAAGCGTCTCAGAGGAAAGGATGATGGTAAGGCATCAGTGAGAATCAAGTTCTTCAGAAACGTTTGATAAGTGAATAATCTTACCTCATTTAAACTTTGTGGTGTTTGCAGTTATCAATGCAGGCATTGCAGGGTGTTGTACAGGTTTTGTTTTTAGCTTTCCAGGTAAATTTAGTTTAATCCTAAGATCCATGTCAAATTCTTTGTCCTCTTTTGCATGTGTCATTTGTACTTATTGTCAATCTTAATGGTGCATATGGCACCGATTGAAGGATTAAAATGTTCCAAGTAAAATGTTACATCTTAGTTTATGATTTCTCAGAGTTAGGCCAGAAATATATAATGAGATACTGTGTGAGTGTAATTTTAATTTGACTGGTGTTCTTGTGGTGTCTCTTCTGAGAATAAAAGACATTTCTGTTAAAATTGTATCTGAGTGTTGAGTTTCAGCACACTTAGTACAGAGGACATGCACATGAGGATGTATCTCTTAACAACTATGGTGAAGTGTGGGTCCGCTGGACTTAGAAAGATAACTAGGACTTGTATGCATGGGGTGACGGGTAGCATATGAACTGGGGGTCTGCAGATCCTTGAAAGATAGTTAGGACTTCATGCAGCAGTAGGAGCTTGTGACTTAGGTGTCTGCTGAACCTAGAAAGTTTGCTAGGACTTGCATGCATGAGTAGGACAGGTAGTTTGCTTCAAGTAATAATGAAATGATGTAATCATGCACCGAAAAATTGTGTTGCTTTTCAAGGGATGTCTACATTTAAATATTTAAAAAAAGCAGCCATTAAATAGCTCGTATCTGCTGATGTTTCTCTTGGTGAACCAACATTGCAAAGAAAAAAATTAAACAAGCTAGATGGCATTGACCCTGGATGGCTATCATAGTTCATCTTAAACCTCTTCTAATTCTTACTTAGCAGGTTTACTTAAAAAGTTGTTGGGACTTTTCTTGGAAAAATTTGAATTGTTATGATGACACTGTTAAGTGTGGTCCTGATGTTCTCTTTTTATCACTGAGTAATATTTCACGGGTGTTGGACCTCTGGTTAAAACAATAATTGTGCTCTTGCTGGGATTATATATCTGCAATCTCTAGAGGTTAGCTGTTGTCCTTCCAGTTATGGCCTACAGATGAAGTCTTTAAACATTTAAATGGTCTTAATTTTATACTTTATTTCATTAGTCAACTTGATTCAATGTTATATCCTCTCTCAAAGGAGATTTGTCTCCACTCATCATTAGCGATTTCTTGGTGCCAGATAATGGATAATCTTGCTGAACAGCCTATATGCTTGAACTTGTTCTCAATGCCAGGTCAACCACATGCCCTCCTTCAGAGTTGCCTCACCTTTGGAGCATTTTCATCCATCATCGAAGGATTTTATAGAAAACAAGCTGCATTGGCTCAACCTTACTTGGCTCGTCAAGGTAGTTTCAAAGGTCCAGATGATGTTCTTCCTCCATTCACGCTTCCGTTTCCCCATCAGTTATGGGAAGGCTTTTCATCCTTCTGCCAATCCTTACCCAAATCGAAGGGAATAGCTAGCAACTGAGTGCAGACCACCAGTTTAATCCGACTTTTGAATGTATAATTTCTCGAGAAGAAAAAGTCAAACTTTTCAGTTTTGACAAAGTTGATCTTATTTGATCGAGTTACATGGAGATATGAACGGCTTGTTGTAGCTACCTTGATATGTGAAGTTCCCTTTGGCATAGCCATAATCCTGGGCATCTGGTTTCATAATATATTGGAGTATGTTCTAGGTTTCGGATTGTGTGGAAGTGCTGTCAGGTGCTGTGTCTTTGGAATTTGATTGCAGAATGATGAAACTTCCGGGACATTTTAGTAGTCCGGGCATAACCGGATGGTCTTGTTTTGTTGGCTTCAGCTGACTTCTTGCTGGCTTTCTTTGGCCACAGATGGAAAGTGTTCAAAGTCAGTGCAATCTACATCCGATGAGATCCTTTGTCTTTTGGTGAATATTTGCCCAGTTGGGATGGAAAATGTGCTCATTTATCTGGGTTGGCAATTCATGCATGTGGAATTGAGTTTGTGGATGGGTATCTTAAATTCCTTCTGGATAATATCTGGGTGCCTATACAGACATAGGCAATTATGAATTTGGTGTTCTTGTAAGTCTACATGAGAAGGTAAATCTATGCATCTAGAATGATAGATGATGCATCTTGATGTTCATGCAGATTTTTGTGTAGAAGTGTCTCCAAATGCATATTAGCTTTGGGAATCCCAAACCTTTTGTTTCTTGTGTTTGATGCCAGTTTTCTGTGGAGTTGACTGCAGGTTAGATCCAAATGTAGCAGCACTGAAATCTCTCAAGCTGATTGCAATTGAGTTTGGGTTCTCGCTCAACTTAATTTTTTGCACAACATGAGTTTGTAATAGTTCGTCTTACTGATCAATATACCGATATGGCATAATCGATACGGTACGGTAAACCTTAATTTATTTGTATATGTGCTCTCAAGCATATGAATGAACTATCCTTCAAAAACTATTGGAGAATGAGGTATCATTTGACATTGCAAATGATGGTTTACCAAAGGTGACCGAGTGAGATTTCATTTGGCCTCGTCTCTTTCTTTCTTTCCTTGCATCCTGTTTAATTGCAGAAGCAGAGTACAGACATGGCTGCTGCCACCATGCATGCGTCTCTACCAGAGAAACAAAGTGCCACTCACTGGTTGGTTCAGCTGTGACATTAAAGATAGGTGAGCTTTTTTGATGCCTTGGCCACCTATATATTTATGGGCGTCATCCTTTTCTGCTAAGTTAAAAGTGTCGTAGTAGACTGGAGGGTGAAGGAGATGGGGATGCTCTGCTGCTCTTCGGGTGGTGGTGGTGGTGGTGATGTCGGCTCTGCTCTCTTAAGCCTTCTCGTGGCTGTCTTGGTTGTAGTGCTGGTTCAGCTCCTGTGTCAGCCTCCACCGAGAAGAAGAATCAGAGTCTACCGCTGTTCCTGAAAGCAATCAGTGTTGGCCTTCTTGTTGTTTTAGTCTCTTGGTTTCCTTTTCTTGTTTTTATGCCACAACACCATGAATTTGTGCTTCGGTGATCCTTTTTTGCGTTCTCTTTTTACCTGTTTGAAGTGGAAGGACTCATGATCGAGTTTTGCAAACCAAGATGGATTTATGTTGACGGAACCAGGTGGAGAAATCTTTTCCTCTGCTGCAAAAGACACAAAATATGCATGAATAAGATATAAGGTTGCAGTGATTGATCATTTGGACTAAAAGAAGATTGGCACCACTTACAAAGTTTCTGTCAATGCTAGGTTTATGTTGTAAAAGACATGAGATGGTCATGTTCTTCATACTGTAACCTGGGGAAAGGTCTATAATATGCATTGTCTTCTCCTTTTTGTTTAGTTGTGTTCTTGTACCAAGGATGGGGTGTTGGCAAATGAAGAACAATAGAAGCATGGCACTTCTACTGGTCAACCTCTCTCCTCCACGGAAACAGAGATGCCAAAAGTTGCAGCAGTTATAAAGTAGGCACATACAATATGGTCTTCTCCTGTAGGTAATGAACATTGAGAACCACAAAATTTGCTTCTGGTAGCTGCCACCACTCCATCAGTGCCTTCCCTTCATCCTCTCCACCTTTCAGGTTTCAATCAATCTGCAGGACTCGCAACAGTGATGCAGGATGCTTAGCATAAAAACTTGACAATGTTGCTTTTGCCGAAGAAACTTGACCGTCGGATAGATGACCCAATCCGAGGCTTTAACAATGTTGGGGTGCAAGGAGGATCCATGCGGGCAATTGAAGTCCTGATATCTAAAATATGTCACTCTGATATCTAAACTTGACCTTTGGATAGATGACCCAAACCCTGATCGCTCCTGATATATCTTTTCCTGTAGCTGCACAATATCATACAACCAACTTGAGCATTTGAGTGGGGAGTTGACTGAGATTAAGAGAAAAAAAACCAGGTACAAGTCCACTTCACTGTCAGTATCAGTAGCTGGTATCTAAAAAATGTCACTCCTAACAGTAGGTAGCAATCTGATAAAAAAAACATCAAAGTTGATTGTGTCTACAATGATTCCAATCATCTCTAGAAGATCTTATCAGTAAAAAAATGTTTAAGCAAGTCAATCTATGTACAATCTGGTTTAGTAAAGTGAAATGTAAGGCAAATGCATCTGCCGAGGTTTATGCTAATGGGGTCATGTGGCAGAGTCATCTCTACAAGATCTTATCAATATAAAAATAAGAAATCAACAATTAATCTGTGTGGAATCGAAGTATAGTACAAGGCAAATGCACTTGCCAAGTATTATTTTCATCAGGATATGTGGCATGATCATCATATATGTCGTCATCTCTATTTTATGGCCCTCCTAGATTTAGTTGTTCGATAACAGGCTGTCTTCTTTATTTTTATTGGAAGAAGAAAGAAGAATTAATTCAGAAAGTAAAGCAAAATCCTTGAGATTTGTATTCGACATAATTACAACCAATCCAAATGATCAAACAACAACTGAAAAAAAATCCATTGGAATAGAAGAAATCAGTAAAAAGGTTCCTCGATGGTCATACAAATTGACCGATGAATTAGAAGGACTGGATCAAGAAAATGGAGAAGAACAGAAGGAAGATTATGAAATTTGTTCAAGAAAAGCGAAACGGGTGGTGATCTATACTGATAAAAATCTGGATACCGATACTTCAAGCAAATCCTTTCTCACACTGGCTGTCTTTACAAGTACAGTAGATATTGTTCTGGAATGCACAAAACTGATGCTTAGCTTGGGAAACCAAAGAATTATGTTTAAAGGCAAGTAGTTAGCTTAAGATTTGTGCCAAACATAAAAGAATTATATTCAAAACTATAAGTAAATGTCATGCTTGGGTGGGATGAACTGCTAGTTGAAATATTAATCAAAATCAGATGACGTGAATCTAACTTATGTTCCATTTAAAACAGAACTCGATTAAGACAGTCACTGCAAGTTGACCTCAGGTATGGTTGCAACATTTGCTAGCCGACATTTGATAACTCAAAAACCAAGATCGAACAGTACCGCTTAGACTGGACATAATAAGATCTCAGGCTCTTCTAGTCCTTCCCAATCTTTCCATTGCTTTACCACTACTTAAGTACTCCAAGGTCTTGTAATCCCTTGTACAGAAAAGAAATATTAGGATTCCGAAGAGGTCAATTAACCAGCATTTTCTCATGAAAAATGTAGATGATTTTTATCGGTATAAGACCAGAATAAAAGTGTCATTTCGGGTTAATCCTGATTGGTTCAAAATATTGCCTATGACAATACAACTCAAAGGCTTTGTAGTTATGCTACGACTAGACTCCCCGGTTGATCGTAAGTCATGATGTTAGAGGTTAAGCCTTTGTTCAAACAATTTGGTCAGCTAAAAATCCTTCGTGGTAAATGACACCAGCATGTCTTCCTGACATGATTAAATAAAGATACAGACTTAAAGGTTTTTCCTGGCATGAACAGATTAACTTTTTCAAGAAAGATACAAGGTATCAAAGTATCTTGAGTTTCTTGTTAGGAAGAAGAGTGAAAGCTTCAGAGTTCTTTCCAGGATACCACATGAAAGGATTCGTGTTAATCTTTTGCTAACCATAGACAAGTTGTGGTAGGTAGGAAAGCTTAATGTTCAAATTTTCCTCAACTTATTGCATGGCACTTGGACAAGAGGACAATAGTTTGAAAATCTAGGAAATTCAACTTTTGAAAAAAAAAACATGCAATGAATCAGATCTATAGGTGTAGCAAAGCCTCAGGGCACCAGAATCAAATATAGTAGTGTCCTAAGGGATGAAATTAGCTTGTACTTAAAACATCAAGCAATGACAGGAACAACTTCACAGAAGTTTATCTCCATCTTCACTTGTCACTCACTCATCAGCCTTTTGAGTCGAGACGTAACTGGATGAACGATGCAATACCGTGATTATGAAATCAGCAAAGTCTATGGTTTAGTAATCATAGACCTAAAGGTAAACTCATAAAGCAGATACCAAAACATTATTACCCCAACAACACTATATTCAATCCGTAAGTAGCTACATAAGAGCAAGTGGGAGCTCCCAACCAATTCGCATGCTAATTAATTTACATGATAGTCAATGTTCATAATAAATTCTAACCGACTGACTATTATGATCATCCAAAATGTAGGAAAAATATGTACCTGCCTGATTAGGAGGCACCGGGACAGGAACTACAGAACAGACATATGTCCATGTTGCTTCAGTGGAAAGGCCAAAACAAATGTACCTTACATGCAAAGAATACTTTCCTATTCTCGACACTTTCTGTTTGTCATGTGGTAATATTCCAAATTTGTGGTACAACATAGCACCAAATTCCCTATTTAGCTCCATGATGTATTCTTGTATCTTGTGGTGGGTGGAGAAGTTAAACCCTATTGAATGTCTTTCTTCAATAACCTAAAAAAAAAAAAGGACCAACGGCAGTAGATTCCTTCTAAAAGGACTTTTTGACATAAAGATTCACTTGGGAGAATTTATTTGACTTCAAAAGATTAAGGGATACAAGATCTCTCCAATGAAGATCCTAATAAAAGTGGAGCAAGTAATCTCACATACAACCTAGGCTTCAAGAGTGTCCTTTCTCGTGCATTCAAGTTTTAGAGCTATACTGACTGCGAAATGCCTCTACTACATAAACCAATCAAAACATAAACTTCATTTGGATTCACAATGACATACAACTATGACATGAAAATTACTTCATTTGGATTCAAAACAATTCCTTTATTTTCACTTACACATCAACAATCTCATCCAGAACTCAACAATCTAGAGCATATACACGATGGAAACATAACAAAATTATCTACAGAAAGGATGAATAGACATCAGATAACAATCACTGGGATAGTGTGAATGTTACATACAGATCAAGAAGTAACCTTCAAACGCTGGATCCTTCTTGTTGCTGACTCTGTAACTAAGTTCTTGGAAACACCCCCAATATCTTTCCCCTTCCCAAGTTCTCAAGAAGCTTCTTTGCTCCATCCACCTCCATCTCCACAAGTCTCTGCAGGTACCCGCAAGCTCCTGCAGCCACCATTTGCTTCCTGCACTTCCTTGACTGCAAAATTGATCGCAATACCGAGATTGCATACCTCTTATCGAAATCAAGGACCAGGGGATCAAGGAGCTGAACTACATTTACAATCCCCTTCTCCTCCTTCCTTAACAACCTTTGGTATCCGGGGAACGACATGAGTGAGGCCAAAGCCCTTGTGGCAGCTTCCTTCTCTTCCACAGCTTTGGCCTCCAACATGCGGACTAGTCGAGACACGGCATCCCCAAGCTCCTTCCTCGCCCTCCGTATGACCAAACCCAATTCAGCGACTGACTTGGCTGCCTCCGTTCTTGTTCCTGGCTTGCTGTCTTCCAGTGCAGCAATAATGAGAGGAAGGAAGCCAGCAGTGACAATGATCTCAGCAATGTACCTAAACGATGCCAGATTTCTTAGTAAACCGATTGCAGGCTCGAGATTTCGATCATCTGCACTGCCGCCTGCTTCCCAGTAGTTCTTTATGCATTCCAAAGCCCCCTCTTTAAAGATAGACAGCTTTATGCTCTGTGATTCTTCGCCAGCTGATAGATTACAGAGGCAACCAACAGCGTTCTCTTGGGCAAGAGCAATCCCCGAGGCCAAAACCCTGAGGAGGACGGGGACTCCGTTCTCTTCCAGGAAGTTCTGTCGAAGTTCTTGAACTGTGGCGAGGTTCTTCAGCACTGCAGCGGCGGTAGCCTGGGCGGAGGGCGTTCCGGCGCGGCAGATCTCGAGGAGTGCTGCGATTCCACCGCGGGACCCGATGATGATCGCATTTTCCCTGGTCAGCGTTAGGGTTTGAAGGGCCACGCAAGCTTTCTCCTTGGCGGCGCCGCCCTCGGACTCGAGGACGCGGGCGAGGTGATTGAGGAGGGTTGCGCCCTCAGCCAGCAGAAGATGGCGACAGCTCGGCACGGCAGAGATCCTCGCGATCGCCGCCGCAGCCTTGTCCCTCGCCTCGTGGCAGGAAGCGGCGACCGCGGTGGAGTCAAGGAGGCGGACCAGCGCCGGTACCACCCCATGGGCGGCGACGACCACGACGTTCTTGTCGTCCTCGCGGAGTAGGTCGAGAAGAGAATCCAAGGCGGAGATCCTCGAAGCGGAACTCCCAATCTGTAGGCGTGTCACGAGGCTCCTGGCCTCCAACCGGACGAGCTCGCGGCGCGAGCTCCCCCCCGCCGCCTCCGGCGGCGGCGAAGGTGGCTCGGGGAGGGTACCGGAGCGGAGAAGCAGGTCGGCGTCGGCAGCGAGCTGGTGAAGGGCCGCGGAGGCGGCGGCGATATCGCTCTGGGTGCGGAGCCTGGCGGCGGGGGGTTCGGGGGAGCGGCAGTGGGCAGCGAGATCGAGTGCTGGGGCGAGTGTCTGGGCGAGGGAGCGGAGGAGGTCCGCGGCGAGGGGGTTCGTTGGGAGTGCGGGGAGGTCGTCGAGAGCGGCGGAGAGGCGGGCGACAGCGGCGGAGACGGAGGTCCACCTGCTGCGGAACGACTGGGCGTCGGAGGCGGCGGCGGACAGAGAGGCCAGGAGGCGGCGGCAGCGGCCGAGCTCGTCGCCCTCGTCGGCGGGAAGCGTCACCTCCATGGCGGGAACAGGGGCAGTTCGGGAAAACACAAAAAAAAGGATTAAGAGCACCACCACGGAGTGTTCGTTCACGCGACACAATAGAAATATGAGAAAGCAGCAGAGGAACCACAGAGCACATGAGAAAGTATAAAGAGGAAACGTTAAGATCACCTTCCTTTCCACCACCGAAAAAGACGGAGGCAAAAAAGATATATTACGTGGGTCCCACATTGTTGTCCTGTCGGATGACTTACTCTGCAGGTGATGTAAATGGGCCTCATGACTTTGGGTCAGGAAACATGTGGTTTCAGAAGTATTTAATGGAGTCCCAGAGAGCAAAGAAGAATGATGGCTACATTATTGCCGAACCCAACTTTTTACCTGTGACGCGGAGATGCTGTGGGACCTGCCTTTCCATTTTGCGTCGACTTTTTTGACTTTTGGAAATGAGGAGGCCACTGTGTTCGACTTCCATGACCTCCAGGAGGCGACTAATGCTTCACCGGACACAGACAGGATTTCACGAATAGGCAATGCTGCTGCTCTTTGTGGTTCTTCTTTTTCTGATGTCATTCGTGAAGTCGAAGGAAAAAATCTCATGGAAAAGCGTTGATGTCATTTGTGTAGAGTTACTGGGGATCGATCCACATCAACAGAACTGTAGCAGTCACATGATTCAAGAAAAGAGGAAAACAAAAGATGAGATGGCCTTAAAGTGATCATCGATCAATAATTGAAACAGCAAGAGAAGAAGCTGCACTCGATGGGGATGGTCAAACAGTGCAACGCACGGCAACAGCCACGAGAGTCTCGACTCACACTGCATCGTCACCTTCGATTGCACGGTCGGACAGTGTGCCCGTTTCGTGACATCGACACTGTGCTGATGTCAACTAACAAAGATGATGCCAATTAACACTGTGCCGCTGTTTACAGGTCATACACATCAACTAATTGTTGGAGTGAGTAAAAGAGAATTCAACGAGCTTAAATAGACTACAGATTTCTCATCTAAGATGGAGTGTTGGCGTTTGATGAAGGGAATCTGCAAAGGTGGCTAATAATTGAGATTAGAGATGATTAAGAGAACAAATCATTGCCGGACTGACGATTGTTGGAGACGGGATCGCCTGTGTAATGAACTCCTGGAAGGACAAGGCAGCTGTACAATGCCAGATTAATGACGAAAGACTGTTCCAGTGTCATACCAACAGTAGTTTCTCGAGCAAGACTGATGAGCGATGAAGAAGACAGCGCATGTTTGCTATTCTATTGTGGAATCTGTTCCTGGCTTATTATGATATCGACGTGGTTGATTTTGATCATCGATCTGACTCAATGAAGCTTTTTTACCATGTCATGTCGGCAAGCACAAGTTACCCATGGCTTCCAAAGCCTGAAACAAAGATACGTTGTCCAAATAGAGACGGACACTGCGGGGTGCTAAAGCTATTAATTGTTCTGGCACGGATTATAATGTCTAAGCTGCATCTTTGGACGTTTCTGATATGTATATATATATCTGCACAGTCGAGACATTAATCACGGCACTAAAGTGCTGGCCAACAGTAACCCCCAAATTTATGACTCCTATTACGAGGAGGAGCTCAGTCTTCTGTCACTGTAATGTTCTTGTCGGGGATCTTGTATCTACTAACTCTTCGCATCCCCCAGAAGTGCATTGTTGTTTGCTCTTTCTTCCCTCTTCGGGCCATTGACTAAAGATCTGCAGTCAGATCTCTGATTGATGGTGCATTTATGTCGACATACTTAGGTTCACTTTGGGTAGGTAACTTTTAGTGCATTGCGATCCGGTCTGAGGTGGTATTCGATGATGCTGCGAAGAGATGAATCAAAGAATAGGATTGACAAGAGCAGAGAGGGAGAACGATAAGGTTTTGGGTTGATCGCAGAGACTGGAACATGCATGCATCAAAGGAGTCAGTCTGTGAGATGAATCCAAGGCAAGCAGATGAAGAACTGCTTTGAGACACCTGCACTACCTTATCTCTTCTCAATTCAGTGAATGTTGGCAGGGTTACCATGGCCGAAAGCAATACGCAACCGGTCATCTCTCACACCACGTTTTGGCTCCATTGCCATCACCTGGAAAGCCTGATGGGAACAAAGAACCGTAATTAGCGGGTAGACTTTGTTTGGATTCAGATAGCATAGCCCCAAGGCATGATCAGTTCATGAATCCTTTCCACCTTGTCTTCATCAGTAAGATGCATGGATTCAAGTGAGATGTGGAATCCTCTTCCACATGATGCCGCCACTTGAAGGAGCTAAAAGATGAAACGACGAAGAGATTGTGAACTTGGATGTTTCTCTTTCTGCGTACAGGATTACACTCGTTCCTACCCTATCAAATTAGTAGGATGAATGTTTTTGAGAAGATTACAAGACTATGCTGTGTTAGTGGATGCATCAGGAAGAAAAGGCTCATCGATGGATTAAGCAGATCAGTGCCATCTGTTCTCTCTCTCTCTCTCTCTCTCTCTCTCTCTCTCTCTGCTGCATTATAAATAGCAGCGAA